CTAGGTCACTCGTACTCAGTCTGCATGATCAGATCACTTGTTCGTTGTCCCTACGTGAAAATTTAAGTGAATTGTTGTACTTGCACCACGAAATGCAGTCTAGCATGATCCAGGCTGGCTCCCTTCAAGATATGTCAAAGAAAGAAGTCAAGTTGTACCTCCACCCTGGTGCAGGGAGGAGGGAGGAGGGTGGGTGGGTTGCCTAAATTGAATGGCAGGCTAGTCTCACTTTCCTGATTTAGTGTGCAGGAATAATTCTTGATAAATTTGAGTGGATCTGGTGCTTAGGCTAACTTATTGGCTGCTTTATACTGCTGCACAGTAAAAGTAAGTCTTCATTAATATGCATCACATGCAGGTAGCTTCACATGAACTAGGCATATATTCTGTTTAGGAACCTCTAGTCTACGAAAAAGTGATTCCTATTTTAAGTTGATATTAGTCGACATTAGCAAATTGAAAGAGGCTTCTTGAAATATAGGTAGGCAAGACCGACCGCAAGTCAACAGTTGATATGTTACTATGCCGAATTGAAGAGGAATCAAAGTCATCGACAGGTCTTCTTTTGGGCAAGCGTTCAAGTGAAAAGGAACAGCAATACTAGTGCAAACTCATAAACAATGGGGTTGGGATTGAACCATAAAGATCAAACTTTGTCTACGCAATCGCTCAAAATCGCTTAGTTCATTCAATTACAGGTAATTCCTTTCAAAATTTCAACAAAGCCCTCCAGTCGAAGGTCTCTCCCTCCTTCTCAAAGCTTTAGCCTAAGCCCAACTGTCTCATAGATCAATTTCTTTTGAATAATCTCCAATATTTCAAGGCCAAAATGGCAGTCTCAATCTTGTTGTTTCAAAAAGAACACATTTACTCACCTGTCATTTCTTCCACATAGCTAACTTGTTAATTTTTATCTCAACAACACTCTACGATCCATGACTCGAACGTGGGTCGTGTATGTAGGCTAGGTGAATTGTGAGAATAGATGGAAAGAATTCTAGGAAAATTTCGATCATCTGAAAGTTGTGTTTCAGTAGAATAAAATTAGATTTAATGGCAAAGGTAATGACGAACAACAAAATAGTAACTACACTGAGGCAAAAGCGAGAGACTTCAGCTTCCATGCACTCGAATACACTCTGGAGAGACTAGACTGTTCTTAGTCAGGAATTCGTATACTTGACTGCGAGTGTCACCCTGTAATAGCATCACTTCCCTGAATTCGTTATTCTGCTTAATCCCACCTTTGCAACCGAATGTCCTCTTGCAGCACTTGAGAATGCTTCCAAGGTGATATTTCTCAGGAAGTCCAGACACAGTTGTTACCAGTTTGTGAATCGCCAGTGAGTGGATTCTGATATGAACCAACCCATCATCCGGCTCTTCAATTGTGTCACCAACATGGCCATCTGCAGAAGGAAAGTCACTCAAAGTCATCAAATACTTACAATCGAATCTGAAGTTTGGATCTTCTTTCATCATTCCTAAAATAGACATTAGCTTAAAATGATACACTTCTCAACCACCTCCGTGATATAACGCTGATTACACCTCAACACATTCACGAAAAATTAGACTGGACTTAATGTGAGCAACGTTCAAACCACCTTCTACTAACAACTTTTGGCTTTATGGAATCATTCGCGCACACTTGCATTTTGGTGCTCTTGTACACACAGAATTGGTCTGCCGTAACGACGTGAGTAGGAACGCAAAGGAAGAATTAGAAAAGGCGTCAGTAGGCCGAACTTATACTGATTTCTTGGTTGTTGAATTACTGAACTGAGAGAATTTATATTGTAAACGACCATGAAAATATTATTGCAAATGACCGATCTTTCACAAACTTGGTCTCAAAGGCCCCTTCCAAGAGGAATACTATTCCAATGATGACTAATGCTCATTGCAGTCCTTGTGCCAAAGACCGAATAGCTGTCGAATGGGAGCAGAGATTTCTTACCCCTTTACATACAGGTAGATAGTGTCCAAATGAATATCAATTCATCTAACACCTTTCAAGTTTCAGCATGGAACAAGACGTAAGAAATGGAGGCTGAAGAGAAAAGATTTGAAAGGTCAATTAGAAGAGACAGAGAGAAAGAGAGATCGACGAGTCAAGAATTTGATGTAAATTTGAATCTTTATGCGCCCTGTAGTTCAGAGGAAAGATGCGGATGTTGAAATCTAACTGAAATGTCTACTTTTGAAAGCTAATTGGCAGATATGCAGCATTCGATTGAATATCCAAAGTCGTCTGTGGATACTCATCAGATGATCATGAGGAGAAAGACAACATGGGTCTTCGACTGGACTTACAAAGTTGTGCAAAGATTGTTATTAAATAATGCTAGTCACTGTTAATTGACCAAATCTAAAATGTAAAATGCATGACGGGGTAAAATGACATTGACAAATTAAAAGACAATGGGGAGGATTGCAGATCAAGGTCGTTTCAGGAATGGCACATCTTTATAATTCAGATCACATGATTTGAGATAGTTGAGAGTTATTTGATCTGGTAGAGAGTCGAAGTAAAGGTGAGTGCTTGACTGTGAGTCTGTGAAGTCTTCATTGGTGTGAGTCTAAGCAGTTCAACCACTAGAAATAAACTTAGTTTGACTGTTAAATTTTTCCACATGACTTGTTCTATGGAATAATTACTTTATGTTCATCTCTTTCCTCACCGTTGTTTC